TGTATTTTGTCTTACTCAGATACTTACTACTTAGTCATCAAATATAATCGTGTATTGGAAGATAAAGATGTTTCATAGAGTTTGACCAGCTCTGATAACGCTTAGAAATATGTTGCTGAAAGAATATATTGATTCATGTTTAAATATTTTGGCATTCTACTGAATTCGACATAATTTATTTTTGCACATCAGTAATAGGAAATTTTACGTTGAAAAATACAGTAGTTCATTTACATGGAATATGAAGAAGAAATCCTGATTTCGTTGAGTTTAAAATTTGACCAAAAATTTCGATATCAAGATTTCTGAAGACATTCACTTGTTCCCGAACTAATAAATTGCGTCTCCTTTCATTTGTATCTAGTTTTGCTATTTTAAACTATGAAATAATACTAATATTCTAATCCAAGTTTTGTTGAAGCCGGTTGGCTTATCTATTCATGATTAGTGAAATATAGGAAATTGATGAATCGCAGATGTCAGAACTGATTTTATTTGTACCGTCATTATTTGTTTTTCGATTCTCATTATCTGTTTTAACGAATATCGAACACGCGTTCATAATAATTATTACGCCCCTTATTAAATAAACCTTTGTCGTCGATTACTACAGGTGTACGGAAACGAATTTCCGGCAGGTTTCGTACTCGTACTATATAATAACCTCCCAGGATGGACTTTCTCGTTATTAGTTTTCACCTGTTATGCTTTAAGACCCGGTGCTTCTATATAGCAGAGCGCATTTTGTTTTTGGATTATCTCGTGTGGTTTTGTGTGTAAATTTTTTATGATGTTAAATCGAGAGACAAAGGTAGGTAGATGCTCTTTAGGTATGTACTTTCGTGAGCAGTTGAAGCATGGTTGTGATTGTAGGTTGGGCTATTTGTGTATTTAATTAGAATAGGTGTAAAACTTTACACAATTGTTGCAGTAAAATTCGCAAGGAAAATTTTGGAAAAATGGTGGGACGTGCAAAAGTTCCACCGGCCACTCTTAGCAAGATACTACGCATATACCGGTACATTAAACTACTGGTAATTGCCAATTTGTTTTTTGGGTTGTTTCTATGAGGTTAGCTATAACTGTTAACATTCCGGTTTTTATTAACCACCCAGGACGTCAATAATTGCCGACTGTCATCTTAGCTTTGGTTTGAACTTTTGAAACCGGGTTAGATGATCGCCAATTGCCTTTCTCAGCTTTGAACATAATAAAATCTTACTGCATTTTAGTGTTAATAAAAACTAACGTGCTTGAGATAGCGAACGGAAATCGTAAAGTAGTCTAAGATATCTCTAACAGGAATCGTTCTTTTCCTCTTGTGTCGTAAAAGGCATTAAGTTCGTTCCAATTTTACGGACTAATTTACCTCATGGTGTTTAAATTGACTAACTTTCAGTAATTAATAGGATGACACGCGACTGTTGTTGTGACCTTTCACCGAACTAGCATAATTGAACAGCAATTAATCCATATTCTCTGTTCCATCGAGAAAAATCGATCGTTCGCTCACAGTCACACGGTGTATCTTAGTTTTTTCATCCCCACCCACTTGGCACGGCCAAATTTTTTCGCGACTTTTAAGAGTAAAATAAAAACGAACTAAGATTTAAGTAATTGTACGGAAAACATAATAATAATAAAATTGGCAATACCTGAGAGCTGAGACCGATTTGCCTGCATATTTTTTGCACAAACTATCAAATCTTGGCTTTGTTATGGTAATGGGTCTCCGTACTGGTTTCAAATCTTTCAAATTCAGTCGATATTTCGTTTTAACATAAGTTACGGCCCATGCCGATTTTACCGCGACCCCGCTTGGGGCCCGCCATTTCGGACCACACGGGGCTCGGAACCCATAGTTCAAAGAGCCCTGATGTAGAATTGTGACTCCTGTCAGTCATGCAAAATCCAATTTCTGTATTGTCTTTTGCATTTAGTTATTATTGCCTGTTGACACCGACGAACTGGTCCTTTTTGCTTTATTTTCGTTTTCTATCCTTTTGAATAATTTAAATAAAGAGTTTACTTTTCGATCTCTTGCTCATGAGTTTCAGGTTCTTTTATTGGCACGTATTGGTAACAGGAATTCAATATATTTTCGTTTTAGTACGTTCACCGTTAATGTATTGAACTCACGATGTATATAGTTGTAACGCTACACGCTATAAAACGATTACCGTAAATTGGGAATTTCACGCCCGAAAATTAGTGAATATCGAACTAGTGTTGTCGTTCCAATTAAAGGCTATAAATGTCTTTGCATTTCTAAAGTTAATTTCATACGGATATGCTTGTAAGAATATATCAAGCAATTGGAATATTTTTTTAACACTGGTAATATAAAATACATTGAGATTTTATGACGAATTTTGAGATGTTGCTTTTTATTTCAGGTTAGTATGAGATTTAGGTAGTTTATGAGTAATGAATAATTAAAACTACCCGTAATGGCCTAAATGTAGAGGACAAGTATTTAAGACTGTTTGTTCGTATGCTTTCATGTAAAATTTACTACATTTTTTTCGATTTTTTTTTGCATTTAATTTTGCTTAAATCTAAGTAATTGATCCAAACGCCTTTCTATATCATCGCTGTCACTCATATTCACGGTTTTGAATCTGTACGATTTCTCCTCATTGAACTCGGTTTAAGTCATTTCTTCAATATAAGTAGTTGTTCGTGAGGTCTCGTTATACTATTCCAGTTTTGTTATGAATTCAGTTCTCAATATATCTTAAACCGGATATATTCTATTTCAATCAGTATTTATTCAAGTTTTTTTTACCCTAATCAAGACATCCGTAGAGGCCAACGGACTATATATGGTATCGATTAATTCACTTTGCAATTTAAAACATTTTGATATTCTTTGAACACCCTATTTTTGTGCATTGCGTCGATATATACAACTTATTCCTAATTTTACATTCAATAGGGCAATCCTCACCGTCACGAATATTCAGGGCGTTAAAGTCTATTACCAATTTACCATGGATGCGTTATTCATTTTCTTTCCCTGTGACGTGTTGCGTGACATAATCACCGGTACTTCTAAGAAAATAAATCTTTTCATTGCACAATTAGTAAGTTAACTGTACCATTGTCATGTAATACGACGTATGTTGACTGAATCACGGAATCATTGAACCGATTTTGAGAAATACTCTACTTTTAGCTAAGGTTACCAGAGAAACGCATTATTGTGTATATCAGGTGTAGAATATCACGGGAGATTTAGTCATAAATATTCTATCTACAGCACAGAGTGTTATACTTTTGGTGGTGAGCATTGATACATTATTAGCAGTACAATGTGTGTTTGGGTAGACATCTGAAAGGTAAGATCGGTAATAGAGAATTTCGTCAGATGGAAAAATAAATTTGCTTATATTTTGAAGGTTTTTATCGTAAGGTTTTAGCTATTCATTCGAATAATTCGTGTAATAAAATCAGATTTTATGTTGTGGCAAACTTGGTGTTCTATGTAGAATACTTGTAGACTATGTAGCAATGTAGGATTAGGTTGTTGAGCACACTTAACTATTCGGATAATTCAGCTGATGATTTCTTATTTGTAACGTTTTGTTTAAATTTTGTTTTTACTTGTCATCCATACGCCAGTCAGTTGGAAATTGTTCTTGCCCATCTTCAGCCGCTAATACAGCATGCATTTTCTTTGAACAGTTTTGACTATTCAAATTACATATTTTTCACAAAATTTCACTTTCTACAAAAGCTGACCTGGCCATTACGTATTCAGCAAAGTTCAGCCGATCACCCAACCGCTATGCTTGGCTGGCGAATAACCTCAAGGGCTTCCTCAAATTGTAACAGGGAAGTGAATTATGCTCAAGGGGACTTCAATCACAGACATGAGACGTTTTCAAAACATATATGGACCATTAGCTACAAAAGTGTATTCTATTACAGTGTTCACGTACCATAATTATTACTCATCAAATGGCAGTAAAATGACTCCGCTCGGTTCCTTTATTTGTCTGACGACTTTTATATTCTTCAAGATACTTCTAATGAAATGCGTTGTCTCCAGTTTAACATTATTGTCAGTCGAAGTACAGCTTGATTATTTCATTTGACAGATTTGATGTGATAGGGAAGACTCAGACTGGGGATTTCATTTCGCGTCATATGCATCCAAAGTAGTTTTAGTTAGTGATAGAATCATATCCCAGACGTGAAATCGAGTTGTTTGTTTTGTATGATCTTAATTCCTATATGATAATCCATAGTAACGAAAATAATTAGTATATTTTATGTTGAAACCATTCTATAGGTCTGGTCAAAGTGGAGTTACAGTTAACACCAATTATAGATTAATTTTGAAGCAGTATGGTGTTCTCAATCGATGATCATTGTAGAATACTCGACGTACGGAATATGTAATTTTTCTTGAATTCAAATCTCAAAGCTGCTAGACTCTGGTATCTTCTTTCTTATGTTGTCCAATCCGCTTAATCGAAAAGATCACGAAGTTATATATTTGAACTGGATGATAAGTTGGTTGTTTGCGAGTTCTTCAAAAAAAAGTTGGTTGGTTGCAAGTCTTTCAAAAAAAAATAACCCAATAAGGCTATTTTTCCAAATGATTAATACGAGTAAAATGATATATGTTCACGTTGTCCGCTATCCATCAAAATGTCGAATTAAAAGTTCACAATTGTACTGAACTGTTTTTGAAAAACTATTGATCAGCCAATACTAATCTCTTCTTTGCCGGGTCGTACTTAGATACGCAAAATTGGCCATTTCAATGAACGTTTTATTAATAGTACATCATGTTGATCGTTGATAACCTGATTGTTTCTTTATTTAAATTTATTATATTTAGTTTTGGTCAATAAACGAGGAAGGGAGGTGACTATAACATTTTATATGCACTTTAATCGAACAAGAAACAGGGTAATAAGCGTTAAATGCAAGCAATTGACTACGTATCATGGATTTCAAATACCGGTAATTATGTTAGTGTTTTATAGTGATGCATTTCTTGACACAAGGCTTTTGGTATGCTAATTTGACATTAATAGGATTTTCTGAGGTGTGGGCTAACATTTTTGTGACGTCATTTTTATGACTAAAACTGTGTCGCGTGCGTGATTGAGACCTCATTTGTGTTTATTCCAACCATAGACGCCGTATAGTTTAGTCGTGTAGCGTATGAATGCGTTTCAGGACGCTGTGAAGTGTGAACCTACGAACAATGCTTGGGACTCAAGTTTGATATATTGAGTTGAAACAGACAGACGCATGACAGGTTATTAATGAGCTGTTCAACCAATTCTTGTCATTAAAATAGACGACTTACGATTTACTGGACATTTCATTTACGTTAACCGTCTTTAACATTACTGAAAGCCGTTTAGAAAGTGCAAGAACGTGTTTTATTTAGTTTTGCGCCTGGAATAATGGTTGAGTTGATTGCCAGCAGCGACGACGTGCAGATGTCGGTCGCGATAACACCAATCATAATAGTAAGAGTAGTAATAATTTTCTCAATCATTTTAAATTCCGAGCATGACTGCCCACGCCCGTTAGATTTAATCCCCCCGACGACGGACGACCATTTATTTGGTATTTGCCTGTTTAGGTCACCGGGAGAAAGCAGCGTGTTTAGTTGACGTGGCTATCAGATTTGTATGTAAGGTACAATTTATTTGCGGGGTTATAGGGCTTTTTGTCGGTTGTAGACTGTATGGGATATTATTGGTAATTCTAACTTGAATGACTCGTCTTTCCCTGGGTTTTTATTTCATATTTCCCCATTGCAATATCAGGGTAGCAGATTAGCTCAGGTTCAACAACATCACCAGGGTATTTTGTGAACGTATCAGAATATCGGTTCTATTTTGAACGAAGTCAGTTCTGGGTGGTCATTTTTGTACTATTTTTGTGTTCTTACTAATTACAACCGTTCGTATTTGGTTTTGTATTTCCAACCTATCATTGTGTTGAAACGTTGAAACCGTGTTTGGATGAAACAGTATCACATACCAGTACTTTAGTAGTCTTGTTAAAATGCTGTTTGTACTTATTACAACACGTAACATCAACTTATTTATTTGCTTACCTTAGCTTGTAATATATAATGTGTCGGAGTTGCACCATATGATACCTTTTTTCTATTCAACATACTGTCTCTTTGAATGTATCTGTAATCAATCCCGCCATGTTATTTAGGTACGTAATTTGATCTCATTCCGACGCTACACTAATACACGGGTCATATATGTTACTGATAAAATGTTTTTTTTTTTAAAAGACGGTCGTATTGTACGGTTGTACCTCTGATTCAAAACATACCAGTTAATTGATTACTAGAGCTCAGGCTAGCGATTTAATTTCTAAAATATTGAAAGCTTTTGTAGCTAAGGTAACGCGATACGTTTACTATAAAAGACACTGCAAGATATAGAACAATGAAGTAAAGAAACCGTCCAAAGAGCGATTTGTGTACAATATATACAACGAGCGGCGACATGTACCTTTCGACAATACCTCCCCCTTACTTATATAAATAAGAAAAGTCAAAAATGACTTTCAATCGTAAAGCACCCAGATATTTTTACAAAGACGCTCAACGCTGGGGATTTGTCCAGCATAAACATTCAACGAAGGAGTGTCGTGTATTTGTTCCGTCAGTTTTGAGTGAAGGCGCCTTAATTTGTACGCGTCGATAGACTTGTAAAAAATAATAGACTGGTCACCATAAAATATAGTTTGGATTATCTTTCGAGAATTTGAAAACATTGGGAGTTATTTACATATGGATGTACTGCAGAAAGTTGTGTTGGGATTCTTTATAATCTATTCAGTTAGGTTATGATTTAGTGTTTATCGGTTGTATTTTGTGTACATGACGATTGTATTTTACTAATTTTAACACATTTATTTTTATTTTAGTGCCTTTAATGTAATATATTGTAAATTCAAGATATATTTATTATATAATTTATTGAATTGCCGTAAAACAATCAGCAGTACTCACACATTGCATTAAACAACTGCTGGTACCCAGGAATTAGAAGGACATATTGCAGTTCTAGCTTCGTTCAACCACTTCAATCTACATACACCCTAAACCGCGTCATATCCGCTTGGTTATTGCCGAACAAGAATACCGTGTGTTGAATCATCGACTGTGGAGCAACGCGTTTGCAACATTTTGTATAACTGACTATTGACATCTACATAGTTCGATACAATAACATAAAGTTTACAAGTGGCAGACGGTGACACACGCCACGCAATGGCGTTACGCAGAAGATCTTCGTCTTTTGGAGTGACGTCGCCATGCCGACTTGGGTCTACGTCGTCGGCAATTAAAACGGAAACTAGAAATACGTCATGGACAAACGACTTCACAGTTGAAAGTACAATCGGAAGGTGAGATTTTGATTTTTACGGGAAGACTGACATTTTGAAGCCTTCAAAATTGATTAATGTACTGTATAAAAAGCTAGTCAATTTAACTTCATTTGGTAAATCCCATGGTATCGCGAATTTAATCTAAATTAAGATCATGACCAACTGTTTATAGAATTAGTCAATCATTACTTTGATTCTGTGTGAAACTATAAACGATATTTCGATTTTTGACTTATATATTCCAGCATTCAAATCTGAGCTACCATTAAAAAGCACATTTAGGTGATGTACTGCAATATCCCGCACTTGGAGTAGCGTTTGCTGATATAAGACCACACATATTGCGTTCATTGCTTTGTTGACTATTCTGTTCTATATCGACATATAACAAGCTTGATTGCTGTTGTCATATAAGTCGCTGTATGCGACACCGCCCCGAACGTGACGTGACACATTTTGTATATAATTTTTTATCATTGCGTCTATGTGCATGTATGTATATCAAACATCACCATAAACCGAATTACCACATCACAGTTGATTTAAAATCCGGATGTGACAATCCAGACGTGATACTGCGACCGGGCAAACGTTGTTTCACTTTGAAATTGTATCATTTTAATCGAACCCGCCATGGTTGAACATGTTTGTAGGTTTACGTGCCCGTGCTTGGTAAGAGACGTGCACAAAATCTCCGGGTTTGCGTGACATGTGTCGTTTGTACAGCGTTAGTCGCACCCTATTGTGATCTACTGAACTAATATTTAGATATGTATCCTCTTATTCCGTTCTATTTTGTTCATATCCACTTTCTGGCCATTTTTTTATTGTTAACGTTAACAGATGGCAAGTCGCAATTATTAACAATGCCTTTAATATTTGCTATTGTGAAGTCTCTTCCGCTTCGCAACGACTGGTAGAAAGCGGTGGCTAATTGGGGAAACAAAATGAGACATTTCAGTGTCACTGGTATACAATCCATTTGCGCGTATTAATTTTCCTAACATTTTGAACTCCTCCGCCAAAAAAAGGAAGTGATTATTCCCATTTCTGTGTTTCTGCGTAATGTGTTCAAACGATACATGACTAAGACTTCATTTGCCCGAAACAAATTCAAATATTAACATTGCCTAGGCTTCTTATACCCGATCTGGGCGAGAGGACATTCACAATATTCTTCAAGTCATCCCATCGGCTTTCTACCCTAGTATGAGTATGAAAACCCAATCATATCCAGCTATTCGCCCAGCAGTGCCTGAGTTTTGAAAACACTTATCGTGTCTTAAATTTCATTTACATATGTGTAAAATTGATTAACAATATCTATAGTCGTATATTATCATAAATTTTAAAATATCATACTATTGAGTCATTTAGAGTGGACAACGCCGACGCAATTTCATTATAATTAACTTATAGGATGTCTGGTAATATGTTTTTCAATCATTTTCATTCGATACAACTCATACCATGTACATTATGCAATCAATAACCAATAACGTATTTTAAACGCTACCGCTGACATATATAGAATATTACTGTTGAAATTGTTATTTGATTAACGCATATATTTTAGTATTGAAAACATCTTACTATGGAAAATATTGAAATCATACTCATAGTCTTAATTGCGTTCTTGCTCTGTTATTTTCGTATTTCGTTAAATGAAATGAACCCTATGAACATCATTTAGTGTTCGAAAGCAAAATAATAACAGTAATAGTTTTTTCGTATAACAATTTCGAGAAGTAAATGCCCTTTAATTGTACCACAAAAAAAAAATCGTTATCTTGATATGGTATTTCTAGAATTAGCAAATTAACAGTTTGAAATTAATGCATATTTTATTTGACAATTAGCGATTTCAGAAGAAATAAGTTTCGTTTTCGTAACGTATTATAATATGTTCACAAACTGCATTAACCTTCCACGAATTCGGAACTTATACAATCGCCAATTAATATGCTATTATCACTGATAATGTTAATTGTTGATGAATCGATATTTCAAAGTACATAGCAAATAGTAGGTGACAATATAAAGTAGAATTTCAATAACGATAGTAACTTATGGTTAACGACATGTTTCTAAGAATGTGATCTTACAGTGACGTAACGTAAAAACATATGACAATATGACCTGGCATACCCTTGCATATTGTTGCTCATATGTATTATACGTACGTTACAGTTACCAATTTACGGTATTTATTTTTCGGCTTCGGCCATACTTTATTCGGTTATTGTGCGTATTCTATGTCAGTTTTTTACGTTGTAATATACAGCTTCTATTATTTCATATAACTCACGCATTGTACGTACGTTTTCTGGTCGTAAAGCGCTATTGTTCAATGTTTATACAACTATTTCTATAGGGCCAAATGGTCGCCTGAAAATTGGTCTAAAATTTTTACAGCTTTTCCGTCAAAGTAATGAATCTATTTTTGTTTAAAAAATGCTTTTTCACTTTAGTTTGGCGCCATTGAGCGTTACAAATGACGTCATACACCAGGAACCCCGCGGCGTTTTGGTTGACGGATAATAAAATTAAAAAATACCTTATATGGATATTTCAAACTGGGTGGGTTTGTGTTAAAAGTCAGATATATATCTTGATTTGAAAATTTCCCATCGAGTCTGACGCGTGTGAAGTAGACCATAAATTTTCCAGACTTCAAAAAGCGGCGGATTTAGGGGTTATTAAGTGTTTAATATCGGGTTTGTGGCTTACTAGTTCAAGAGATTGATAATTACAGTTTTGTTATTATTATCACTTATTGTTTATAATACTTTTGTTCTCTGTAACCGTGATTATGCATCCATAAAGACCCTTTAGCTTTGTTAAGTACGATTTGGCGCTTGAGGACCGCCTAACAGCTCCATGATCCGATTAATCAAACCTTGAAACAGAATATATAATCTAGGTCGCATCGTAGATTTTAATTTCAAACTATTTTTTTTTTTTTCATTGAAGTAAACGAAAATTATATTATTTGACAAATTTTGTGGAGTAAATTTCCGATGTTGGGACATTATTTTTGAAAATTTGAAATTCATAAAAATCACTTCCCCCAAATATCTTGTTATGTTTTTTCTAATCCTTAGGAATTTTTTTTTATATTTCAAACAATTTAAAAATTATTAGGCATGTCGACGAACTTTCAATGATTTGCGACTATCATCTGCAAACATCGTCCAATTCTCAACATAAAATGACGATAATATCATACAATTTATTGACTGTAAATTTGATCCTCCGGAATTTAAATTTGAGGTTTAAACCTATTTCATATTCAGCATGTTATTAGGTTTATTGCATTGCAATTTAACTTTCGTAGTCACGTTTATTTACCTTCATAACATAAGCCGCTTTATAAAACTAGGAGAATTGTCGGTCAGGAATTTGATAAGTTGTTTTTTTGGTGACTCGTTGAACGAGAATAATGAGTTTATACTTTATATCAGGACAATCATTGAGCAATGCTGTTCGTGTTTTGTACATTGTCATTGCATACTCATACAAAGTCGAATTTTCAAAAATTAGAAACTAGGAATTTATTTTAAATAACGGATAGGGGTATGGGTGAATATATGGACCCAATCGCCAATGAATGCTATTGATCTCTCATAGGGACAACGGATTTATTTTTAGGGCATCTACACAAGATCTGCACAATATATTATTGTATATGCTATGAACTAATCTCAATATTGTTCTAATAGGGACGATTGATCATTTGCGCACACCTCACAGTTGGTGATAAGCAGTTTTTCAAATATTGTCAAGAAAAATAAAACTTTATCGCAAGACGCAGTTTTAAATCATATATTTGGAAAGTTTTAACGGTACATCCACAGTCAGAGTAGCCTATCCCCATAAGTCATATTTGCGTGACGTTTTCAAAGTAGATTTAAGATTGATGCCATCGAGGGTCCTTCAAAACTGGACGTCACCGGACTTGAGGGCTATTTTGAACACCATGTTGATTCTTCTGTGCGTTCACCTGCACTGTGTTTACTTCACACAAAAATTGACGTTGTTTATTTGAATTTCCTTCAATGTACGTTTTACCGTGCCCATTGGTATAATCTTGGGATGTTAAAGTTTTCAAATTTCAATACTACCAAATTTGCGTGTATACTAGTAACGACATTTTTTATTGCACTTATCTTTCAAGGCCCATTCATTGACTCCATTGAGTCGAAGGTTTTTAACCACGTTTTCTATAATTTCATAGTTTCCACGAATCAGGAGTTTCTCATGATTTTTGCATGTCCAAAACTACTCAATTATTCAAATCGATATGAAATTTATTATACGGTTTTGTTATCGTCAAATTTTCTGCATTTCCAAATTTAATCTTATTGAATAAACGTTCTACGTATTCTTTTTAAACATGTTCCATTTTAATATAAATTCATTTGAAATAGTTGAATATTCATTTTTCCAGGCCAACGAATGTTTTGCAGAATGCAGAAATATTCGCAATCTTTAGTCGTTCGTTTAAACCTCGCAGAAAATGGCACGTTTGTTAAAGTAGTAAAATACAACAATGTGTCGACAAACTGAGAGGTTTTCATTGTTTTGTTTGACCCTAGAAAGTCCTTAATGGGGGTATCGTTATATCGGCATAGGGTGGGAAGTGAATATTGTAATTGTTTGTGTGAATTACGTATTGTACACTTTCTCACATGTTATAATTACGAGTATACAAGCGATATCACATGCCCTTGTTGTTTGTATCCGCGTCGAGTGTATTCATTAAGGGTACGCAGACACAATACGAATATTGAAACAATAAAATTTTGAGTATTCGACAATATGTAACATACATTCCTGACGCCGCTTAATGAGGAATGCCCTCTTCATGACGCTTTCTATAGATTCAATATACATTGTGGAATGTAGCCAATGAAATAATATGACAGACTGTCTATTGACAAATGGCAATGTTGTAATATTATGTCATATACTATATCTGACTGGGAACTTGCTTTTCGGCATTAGTCCAATCTCGA